ACTATGGGGTCAGTGTTTTTCCCCATCGTTCTCCTTAGGGTAACGGGAGGACACAAACTAGCGTCCTCCCGTTACCCTAAGCTCAGTATACCGCGAGCTACAGCTCGCGGTATACTGAGACGCCGCAGCCGGAGCAGATCCCGACGTAGATGACGGGATCCGCCCAGCTGCGTGAGTGACAGCTGGCTCTGCCTATCTAGAGGCAGAGCCAGCTGTACCCGCCCCCTCCCCCGTTCGTTCCGCCAGTCAGCGCTGGCAGATCGGAGCGGGGAGAGGGGAATCCAGCCCTCCCCCTGTCACGGCAGAGAGCCGTGACAGGATCGAGAGCTGATCGAACCTGGTATGTGTTCGCTCACCTCCCGATCTACTGAGACGACCTGTGACAGTCTCATTGTCACAGGTCGGCTAGAACTATGAGGTGAGTGGAAATCACTCATCTCATAGTTCTCCTTTAAGGGTTTTTGAATGAATTTAGTCGACTTAGTGAAAGCATGATCGAATGCTCTGATGAAAAAATTTTCAGAGCTTTGTACGAATGTGTACTGTGTAAAGCTAGATTTACTTGCTTTTGTGTCTTTGATTGGCCATTGATGGGAAATATACTCAATAAAACAGATCGAAATAGAATTCTATGATCTATGAAAAACTACAGGAGAAAATAACTTTTGCCGTTACATACGCTCAGTCACCAAACATAAAATAATTTTTTTAGATTTATGGGCATTTAAAATGTCTAAAACTTTTATATTTGTATAAACCCCTTGGATATCGCCATGGTTTCCAGAACTGGAATTTTTACAGTCTGAAAGCAGTGCTTACATTTCCTCACTAAATATGGACAATTTTATTGTCTTGGAAAGTAGCATTTTAAACTTGAAAGAACAACAAAATCCTCAAGGAATGTTTGTGACGGTAAGATTTACTATAACATTCTGCCAAAAATGATGATATTGTTTCCTGTGTTGATACATAAGCATTTTTCCCCCCCTAGACAGTACAGCTATAGGGTTAAAGGAGAACTATGAGGTGAGTGCTTTTCACTCCCCTCATAGTTCTAGCCGACCTGTGACAATGAGACTGTCACAGGTCGGCTCAGTAGATCGGGAGGTGAGCGAACACATACCGTGTTTGCTCACCTCTCGATCCTGTCACGGCTCTCTGGATTCCCCTCTCCCCGCTCCGATCTGCCAGCACTGACTGACGGAACGGACAGGGGAGGGGGCGGGCACAGCTGGCTCTGCCTCTAGATAGGCAGAGCCAGCTGTCACTCACGCAGCTGGGCGGATCTCGACATCGATGTCGGGATCCGCTCCGGCATCTCAGTATACCGCGAGCTGTAGCTGTAGCCTAGGGTGACGGGAGGACGCTAGTTTGTGTCCTCCCGTTACCCTAAGGAGAACTATGGGGAAAAGCCCTGACCCCATAGTTCTCCTTTAAAGCAGAACTCCAGTCTTTCACACCCCTTGTCCCACAATCTTTTTAATGTAAAAAAATAACTACATACCTTTTTATCTGTAATCTAGCTGGTGCACTGACATCACCAAGACTTCCTCCAATGCAAATAGAGGGGGGCATTCATTTAGGGCTGAGTGATGCTCATGTAATGACGTGTGATCACTGCTCATTCCTAGTAAACTGTGAATTCAGCCATTGCTGCACCGCTGAGGAAACGGGTTCAAATGAGTATACCTTTTGTTATTTTATACCCTAGACGAAAACGAGCACTTAACCCTTGCAGTGAGGCAGTAACTCCACTGCAAGGGTTAATAATTTTTCTTGGAGTAATTCTTTAGGTAGCGTTATCTAGACATTGCTACTTTGTTATTATCTGTAGTAATTTCCAATAATAATACAGTAAACTCCCCATTATCCGGCAGTCAAGCAACCAACACTCAATCAAAAAAAAAAACATATTACTTAACCCCTTCATGACTGAGCTTGTTTTTAGTTTCTGTTCGTAAATGACTGACACACATGCCCTCCATTTTTCTTTTGTTTTGCCAGTGGCTTATTGCACACTTAAAATTTACGGTTGCTTGGTGCACACCAAAAAAATTTGTTAGCAACTCAATTTATTAGTTTGCTAACAAAATTCTTTGTGTACAACTTGCTGCCGGCCAGCGGCTAGATTCCAGTCGGCAGCAGAATGTAAACAATGTGGAGCAATAGCCAGCCTGCTATTGGCTATTTCACATTGCAATAGCTAATACCAGGCTGGCTATTGTACCTGCCCACTGAGCAGAGGAGCAGACCTGAGAGAGAGCTTTCTCTCAGGTCCGCTCCCCTGCCCAGTGGGTGGGGTTAATATAGCCAGCCTGCTATTGGCTATTTCAATTTGAAATAGCCAATAGCAGTCTGGCTATTGCTCCCAGCTTACATTCACCTGTCGGCTGTAGAGGTTAACTGGCAGATGAGTGGGGCCGTGAGGGAGTCTCAAGCAACCAGAAACTACAGTTACCTGGCACCTACCGATCCCTGTGGGTGCTGGATAACTGAGTTTACTGTGATATTATTAATAAAATGCCCCATTCATTTTTATTGCGTCCCTCCACTACGGATTCCCGGAGAGGAGGGGCATGGCCTGCCGCAGGGCTGTGTGTGTGTCTATGGATGCATACAGCCACTTGCAAGCACGGCCAGGAACCCGTGCAGGGGTAAGAGCGAAGCTGGGACCCACTAAAAATAGGGATTGGGGACATTTAATAAGAACAAAAAACAAAGATCTGCAAAAAAGAAAGCCTCCCACTGATAAAAAAAAAACCTAAAGCTATAATATCACTTTAAGAAAAAAAATTCAAAGCCTTCTGATGAGAATTCCTTTGGTCACATAGTAACAAAATGCCCAAGAATATAAAGGGGTTTAACAAAATGGATAATCTAAAGCTGTTGTTTAATTTGCTGATGTTATGCAATGCAATGGTAGTGCTGGTAAATGTCTGTATTTTTAAATAGCCTACTTTGACTATGTAAAACTCTATGCTTGTGGCCTGTTCTGTGTAGTAGTAACCCAACCTAAGGCCAAGTGAGGTGATTTTCTACATTCTCTCAGCAGAAGTCTAAAGGTGCCCATACACCTTACGACCATCGGAAGACTTTTGTCTTGTGATGGTCGTATGCTTATTGAAAGCTTGTACGATCTGCCCACCTTGGACGGGCAGATCGTACTTGCGATCATCGAAAGCCCGCCCCGCTGAGGGGCGGGCTTCTGATGACCGCAATGCAGAACGGGCAGTGTGTGCGTGCGCACACCTGCCCGTTCCACAGCTATCGAACGAGCAGGCTAGAAACCCGCCAACAATCGTACGATTCTCGGCGGGGTTTCGAGCATGCTGGTTCGACAAAAGACGTGCGACCGTACAGTAGAAACGGTCGCATGTCTTCGTTCTCACTGCTCGATTCTTGTACGATCGCGGGATTTCGCCCGATTTCTCGTACGAGAATCGAGCACTGTATGGGCACCTTTAGAAAGAGCATGAACTCAGGGAGGCTGATGGGGTTTTATATATCACATTTGTTCAGTCTAAGCAGAAAGAAGCTGCTTCCTGACAGGCTTATAAAACCCAGCTGCATTCAGTTCTTCTTTGTCATGCACTTACATGACCACTGTGTGCCAGGTATTACAGGGGAAAGTGGTTCATCACCTGGCTTGGACTGTAATCAGGGGACTATCTTGTGATTCACAGAATGTAAGAAGCCAATAAAAAAAAAAAAAAAAGATACCAGCAGGCACCTTTTTGTACTTTAGATCACTTTACATGTTTTGCAGAATTGCGCACTGTACTGAATATGGATTACAGATTATAATTATAATTGTCTTAAATTTTTTCACCCCCAAAAAAACACACTAGGTCTTATTTTCAGGGGATGTCTTATTTTTATTTTATTTTTTTAATGTGCAACAAAATGGTCCGTATCGGTAGTGCTGATCCCTTTCTTTCACTTTCACAGGCGGAGTGCATTTGGTATCACTCCGCCTGTCACAGTAACCGGCACTATAGAGGAAATATCAGCTAATGCGGCTCTGCTCCCTCCGCTGCCGCAGCCTTGCTTTCTACAGCATCGGCTTCCTTTGCCATCAGGGACAGCGGTACCAGCGGTTTCAGCAGTGGGGACATCAGACAGTGGACAGCGCGGTAAAGTACGGTACCATTTACCGGTACACATTACAGTATAGTACAGTACCATTACATTAAGCAGTGCCTTCAGGGGGACAGCAGTTGGTAAAGTATGGTACTGGAGTGCTTCCTGTCACTGCGCTGGCCGGAGGGAGTCCCCTGTCATCCCCTTATTACAGTATGTCCCTGCAGGCTGATACCATCTCTCCTGCTCTTCAAGTTCCCCCTCACATGCTACCACCAACTAGGTCTTACTTTCGGGGTAGGTCTTATTTTCAGGGAAACAGGGTAGTCCTTTATATTTTTTAGCATCTGGCATAGGAATACGGTATGCAATGGACACAGCTGTGATAGGCCTGACGAGAACAACACACCTGGACTTTTAGGTAAGACCGCATTCTGTAAAATAAAAGTAGATCATTTTCTTCTGTGGTTGTTTCTTACTACACAAATGAATGTAACACCATGAGGTCTATTTGAAAATGTTTTCACAAAAATTTTACCTAGGATTTACACTTTATTTTTTCTAATGGAATGCAAATGTGTGAATCTTGCGTGAAAGTTGTTTAAAAACATTTATAGATGGATCCCCATGTATAGCCTTAGAAGGGTCTATGATTGATATGTTGGTAATATGTGTCAGCTCTACCAGCTCAATTATTACAAGAATGCTGTTTGTGCTATTTGTGGGGCAGGGGTTTATATAATGTGGTTTTACATCTGGCCATAATTTTAGGAGATTATGTTATACAACAGGAAAATATAGAGTATTTGTTTTCCAACAAGGCAGTTTCTGTTTTCTTATATTTTGTGTTTATTAGTGTTTTCTACAGTTGTTTTCCCTTTATAAGCTTTATGTAGTTATCATGTGTTGTTCTTTTCTAGGTGGCAATGGTGGAAGTCCAACTAGAGATGAAATATGACTACCCCCTGGGATTGCTTGTGGCATTTAGTGCTTGCACTACTATACTTGTGGCTGTTCACCTATTTGCACTTCTGATCAGCACATGTATCCTTCCCAATGTCGAGGCTGTCAGCAATATCCACAACCTGAACTCTGTCAACGAATCCCCACATGATCGCATGCATTACTATATTGAGCTGGCTTGGGGCTTCTCCACAGCTCTCGGAATTCTCCTCTTTCTGGCCGAGGTGGTTCTTCTGTGCTGGATAAAGTTCTTACCCATTGACTCTCCCCAGGTGCGCAACGAAACATCTATCCCGCAGAAGCAAAGTGCAAATGCAGGATGGAATTCTGCACTAGTTTCTACCATCATCATGGTTCCAGTTGGCATCATCTTTGTCATATTCACCATTCACTTTTATCGCACATTGGTAAGGCACAAAACAGAGCGCCACCATCTAGAAATTGAAGAGCTCCACAAATTGAAAATCCAGCTTGACGGACATGACCGGGGCATAAATGTGGTGTGAAGATGGAGGAGCTACAAAGTTATTTAACAAGTGCCACTGATCCACTGATCAGTCTGTGTTGCTGAGCAGTTTGGAAAGCTTGGGCTTTTTACAATGCCCGGAATTATAGCCAGGTTGCTCAGAGATTGAACTGCTCTATGCTGCAGCTTATTTGTACATCCTTGCAACTACTACTGAAAAAATAGATATAGGACAAAAGGGAAAAAAATAAAAAAAATGTGTTATAAGAATGATAATAATAATTATCAGCAAATATCATACAACTGCAAAAATTGAATATGTGCCATAAACATGTTTAAAATTAATCTGGAATTTGCCAGTGTAGGGCAAAGAAACAGGTTAACTTTAATGCAGACCTCCCTACTATAAAGTTACCTTCATTTTACTCACTTGCTACTCTGTTCGGCCTCTAGGAGCTAAGGAAAGACCTGTGCAAGTTACAAGTCGCTGAAGTCACAGCTTACACAAGACTATGAACTCATGGTTTGACATCGCTGTCACATGGAGTGAATCTCATGCTCTTTTATACCAAAAGTACGGGGTATTTCGTTCAGCCCTTGACATTAAACAGAACAGTGAGCTAGTGAAGAAAAGGGAAGTACAGATACTCCTCGCTTAACGACTTACCTGTTTTGCGACCAGTTGCACTTACGACCGTCCTCCGAGCGACCTCCGACCTCGCGCATCAGCGCCAGTGCGACGTGTCGCCGGGGGAAGTGACGTCCTCCGTTCTTCACAGCGCGTCCCCGTGAGTATTTTCATTGCCCGATGTACAGTACACTGTTCAGTACTGTACATCGGCAACACTATACAGTACTGTACTAATGCAGTACAGTACTGTATAGAGTTCCTCACTTAACGACCAATTCGTTTAACGACCTGGTCGTAGGAACGGAACTCGGTCGTTAAGTGAGGAATACCTGTATATGCTCCTGGGGATTAAAGCACATGCTTGCTTTAAAGCATATCTAAACCTCAAAAAGATTTCATATGTTGCAGTTTACCAGTCCTTAAATGTAGCAGCCTCATTGCTTTTTGTCAGGTGTTTTTGGCCTTTATTTTTACCTGGTAATCCTGTGAATAACACACGATCTGTCCCTGGGTTGATCCGCTCACTCATTCTACTGTATATGGGCAACCATGGTTGTCACCCAGGATGAACTTCAAACATAAAATTAGCATTTCATAAAACCATACCACACAGACGCATGGGTTTACAGTGGCAAAATCAAATAATGAAGAGTAAACCAACACACCAAGAAGTAGATTCTGAAGCAGGGTTTACTGAAGTCCCATATAAACAAAAAAGTTACACCAACATTTTAAAAACAAGGCAGCCCTCTTTTTCAAGGTGACAGTCTGTGGCCATCATGCTCTCAAAAAGGTTGGCATAACTTATTTTGCTGATATGAGACTTTTTAGTAAATCCTGCTTTCGAAAATACTTCTTGGTGTGCTGGTTTTCTCTTCATTATTGGACTTCAACTATGTCTGTCTTTGATCATCTCCTTTACACAGGTGATTGGCAAACTAGTGGTTTACAGAAGGAAAATAACATTGTTTTAAGCATCTAGTTCAGCTCACTGCATTTGACAAGGACACTGTTTTCCTGGCAAGATCAAAAAGGTTATTTTCTGTGGTTGTTAGGAATGTTCTTAGACTGAAAAAAGAAAATGGATACAACCACCACATTTAAGGATCAGTAAGCTGCGATATATCATTTTTTTTTTTTTTGAGTTTAGATTTTAGAAAACAGCAAGCCCCCCTGCACTCCCTACAGCGTTCCCGGTCCAAGTAATAATCGTGGTGCTCAAAGTGATGATCACGGATGGCGGCGTGCACAGCAGTCAATGGAAGATGGAAATCACCAGCACTCAGCAAATAAAGTTCAAAGAATAACATCCATTTATTTGGAACATCCTGAAACGTTGGATTATGCGATGTGTGACGTTTGGTCCAAATAAATGGACGTTATTCTTTGAACTTTATTTGCTGAGTGCTGGTGATTTCTATCTTCCATAGATATATTTTAGGGCACTTAACACTGTGCCACTGATGCCGCTCTATAAACAAGGCTTGTGTTCTGTCAGCTTTGACTGTCTGTAGAGTCACGGCTCTGCATGTTAGGCTAGTCTTGTTAAAGGATTACTACACCCAAATTGGTATTTCCTTTTTAATAGGTGTTACCACCACCACCAGTTTTTTTGTTCCTTAGGAAAGTTGGTGTATAGATTGCTGCCATGTCTGCTATGATGAGTACCATCTGCTGTTCATGTTTACAAAAATATTTTTTTTATTGCAAGAAGTGCAACAGAAGGAATGGACATGATCCTGATAGATCAGCAGGTATGAGACAGGAATCATAAAAGACATACTGGAAAATACCCTCTGTTGGGGTATCCAAGACATATATGACGACAGAGAGGGGTCATTAGGTGACTAAGCTGTACCTGCAATTACAATATCCCATTTTGGATAGTCAGTCACTTTAAATATGCTTTCTAAAGGAAAACTATCAGCCCAATATTCTTGACTGCTATTTTTACTGTCCATAGAATGTAATACATTCAGAAATTATCTATAAATATTTATAACAAATACATCTATAAGTGCACAAATATTGGTACAATGTAGAGATATTGGTACAAGGTAACATATTAGTAGGTATATTTCCATTATAGAATTTGTATCCAGTAAGCAGGCTATTTCATAGATAATATATTTATTTCAAACTTTAAGACATAATAAGGGTTGTTCTATGAAATGGAGTAAATGCCATGCCAACATTAGCCTTAGTTATGGTTCAACCTTTTGGCATTTGATTGTTTCTTAATGGCAGCACATGCATTGCTGTGACGTTTACTTTTATAGAATACTTCTGCAAATGGTCCTGATGTCTACAAGGTTAAGGGTTCACCTAAGCTAAAAACATAGTGCCTTGTATTATAATAGTAGATAAAGTTACCATCAAGGAATTGTTTTATGCTTTTGTTTTTTTCTACTTTTTCCATAACATTGTATTGTAGTATGTAGAATTGAGGAAGAATTTATCATAGGTAAAGGTACCCATAGACAAAAGATGATGGTCATTGGACAACTGTCTACTGAATGATGTTCTTTGTAAGCTGAGCACCTTCTTTAGTTCAAACATTGGTCTTCTCTACTGTAATAGTCCGTGCCATGTACACTGTCCAATTACTGAGAAAACACATCACAATCACATTATATAACATCAACAGAAATCATCATCATTGTCTGTGGAATGCATTGTCTGTGGAATGCACACTTTACTTATAGAAGAAAGCTTAGACCACCATCTTTGTTTAATTGCGTTTTAGCAGCTCGTTAATTTTTTAATATAGGAAGCAATGCACCTGATTTAGTAAGGCTGCAATATATCTGTTTGGCCTGTACCACGCAGCCACATCATGTTTTCTGAGCAGATACAATAGAAGCCTAGTTTACTGAAGCATGAAGCGAGACAAATTGTCAACCTCAAACATGCAGTCCTGTAAAGGAGAACTGTTTTTTTAGAGCTGAACTCCAGCTAAATACACAGGTGAAATACATATATAGGAGCTGTTTTTATGTACCAAAGGATTTATATTACTGTCCATCCAGTCCTAAGGTCTATACAGCACAACCTTGTCTAGCAGAGTAGGAGACCTGACCTTTCTTTCCTGTAGATAAAGTCATATTAAATGCCCAGACCTTTTTCAATAATGAATCCTGTTCAAACAAATATACATTGTCAAGTAAAGTATTTCTTTACATTTTTTCAAACCGCTGGCTCCAACTCTCTCAGCTCTGCTTCCCTGAAATTCCTGTAGAGTACAAGATCACAAGGGACATATCAGTCTACAGCAGTTGTTCATCTATTAGCACAGAGAAGGAAGGAGTAGGGAGTAGGGCAGTGGATCGGATGTGTTTGTGGAGACACACACAGCTTACTAGCACACACAAGGGTGGCTTTATAGGACCCTGCAAGGAAAAGGAGCCACCCTAAAACAGGATATCAGGGCTAGTGCTCAGGGGACCTGCTGATTCTGTAGGAAGTTAAAACTTTTAAACATCAAGGCGTAGCTTCTATTGTAAGTGATTTAATCAACATCTGGGCTATCTTAAAAACAATTTGACCTTGAATATCACTTTAAGTAACACTAACAGGTCTTGTCACTCCCCAGCCTGTGACTACTCGGTAAAATGAGAAAAACAAATGAATGCATACAATGTAATGTATTAATGAATACAGAGCTGTAATAATTAGCGTCTTTTATATCTGCCTGGATTTCAGCTTCAACTTCTCCTGTGCATCATATGATGTTTGAAGTGAGCGCAGGTCCACTGCACTTCACACTTTAGTAAATCAGGTCCAGTGAAACATCTGACTGGTTGCAATGGTGTTTGCCTTTATATATTTCCAACTCAAAACAATTTGCCTAAAGGAATTCCATGCTCAAATACCTTGTGAATATTGTGTATAAAAACAAATATAGTAAGTTTCTTACGAATGAGTATTTGGAATAAAGTTGTAGATTAGGCATCTAAACTGAAGAGTTATTTTATGTTTTAGCCAAAGAGAGGAATACTTTGAGAATATGCAAGTTACTTCACTATGAAGGGCTGTCCAGGCGCCTCAGAAAACTTTTTGTGTGTTTTGATTCTGATTGAAGGATATGTTCTCTGTGTTTTTTATTAATTTATAGTTTATAGTTTGTTTTAATGTACATTTTTGTAATGGTTGAAATAGTTATTTACTGTGCTATACATAAATGATATACAGGAACTTGTACAGCCAATGCTGTTAATAGAAGTGCTGTTAATGGTGCATAAGTGTATCCTTTTGTTTATCATGACAAATTGAGACATTTGTGATGGCATTCAGAAAAGTAATACTTAATGTGTACATGTGTTTATTATAAATGTATTAAACCCCCACTTTCAAGTGATGCTATGGAATCGGAGGTTGGTGACGTCATGTAGATCAGCCTTCCCTAACAAGGGTTCCTCAGGCGTGCCTCAAATATTTTCCAGCACCAT